CGTGACGAGACCGACCTTTTGCAGAAGGGTGAAAATGAAGCTCTGTGGAGTACGTTGCCCGTCTTTTGTGATTGGTATTTTACTAAATTTAATAAGCATGACGTCCCCCAGAGGTGACTCAGCAAAAATTCCTTGAGGTGCAAAAGAAGTATAGTAACTACTCCCAATTTTATACCGATGGTGCCAAATCATTGCATTTTGTAGAATCAGCAGTTTACTCTGAAATATTCAGTAAGGTTCAGCGTTTCAAGGAATGTGCAAGTATTTATACGGCAGAGCTCTTTGCAGTGTTAATGGCCTTGGAGCATATTCTCACCAGCAAGACGATGAAATCTATTTTATTCGTGGATTCTCAAAGTGTGCTCACCACACTTTGCTCAATGAAGGGAAGTAAAAATAGACTGGCACAACTTGTCCGATCTAAGGTACAATGTGGTCTGCGGCTTGGCCGAGACAAACTTCTGCTGGGTGCCTAGCCATGTGGGGATCTTGGGTAACGAAAGAGCAGACGAATTGGCCACTAGCTCTAAGCACCTACTGACAACTACCTCACAGATTCCATTTCAAGATATGAAGCCTTTAGTAATATCATTAGTTTTCCAGCTATGGCAATCGGAGTGGAGTCTGGAATGCGAAAACAAACTTCATAGGATTAAACCAGCTCTTGGTATGTGGGAGAGTGCATTTTACAAATCCCGCCGCCTTGAGGTTCTTTTCTGTCGTCTTAGAATTGGACATTCCTACCTCGCCCACAGACATCTGCTCAGGGGGGAAGCCCCACCCCTGTGTGATGACTGTGGGGAGCGTTTAACAATTTTACACATTTTGTGGCTGTGCCCAGGGCTTGAGCAAGAACGACGTACACATTTCCCCGAGTTTTTTTTTTACACCAGATTCCTTTTCACCCAGCGCTGCTAATTGGGGAGACTCCTACGGTACCGTTTGATCGTGTCATAAATTACTTAAGAAAAACCGGCTTCCTACTGGAGTTGTGATTTTTATTCTATGACTTTTAAACTTGTCATATGAATTTTTTTAGATAATTTGAATAAAAAAGTCCTGAGTATGTCCCAGCTAAACAAGCTTGGCGCAGTTTTGCCATAGTAGCTTTGCGCCATAATGTCCGTAATCAACAGCAACACTTACGTTTATGCTCAGACCAGTATTAACTTCTTGGATACCACTGTAATATCAGAAAAAAAGGAAGCTTAAAACGAATCTTTATCGTAAGCCGACAAATCGGCAAAAATACCTTCAATACGAAAGCAACCGTCCACGTGATTATAAGGATAGTATACACTATAGCCAGGCCCTCCACTTCAAACGTGTTTGCTCACGGCAAGGGGAATTCCAATCGAGCTCTTATCATCTAAAGAACGCACTGGAAAAACAAAAATATACTCCGCGAGTCATTAACGACGCAATTAAAAACGCCGGCCAACTAAACCACGCTGACCACATGGAGGACCGTCCTCCTCAGCGCAACCCTCAACGCACGAATTTATGTCTAACCTATAGTATGAATTTTCCCAACGTAAATATAATTTAAGCGAAATCGTAACATTTTAGAGCAAAGCAATCGCATCAAACTTGCATTCGTATCAGTTCCCGGGGTAAGTTACAGACGATCACGTAACCTTTGACACGACCTAGGTAACTCCGGACTCAATTCGTCCCAACCAAATAACGAATGCCGACCGTTCATGAAACGAGTATGCCTCGTCTGCAAACATATGCGTGAAGATAACACGGTGAATAGCACACATTCATAGTTTTCAATAAAAATTCGGGGGCAGCTTACATCTGACTCTCTAAATGTAATTTATCTGCTACATTGTGAGATGTGCAAAAACAGTATATAAGACAGAGTGAGACCGCGTTGAGACTGCGTTTTAACAATCACAGATCGCACGGAAAATCCCTGCGCAGTCTGCCAGTTTTAAAACATCTTAGCCTCCAGAACCACATATTCGAAAAATTATCTGTGACACTTTTAGAGTCTGGATTCAAATCGAATCGGGAACGCGAACACCGCAAGTCATATTTTATATACCGATTTAGCACAATAAAATAAGGTATAAATAGAAGCCCGGGAACACTTGTCTTGATTGAGGCGGTTATCGAATAAATAGTATGATAACGACCTTAAATAATAAACTTTTTGTACCTAGAATTTCCTGGTACTGAGTTTGGAGCTAGAACTGGAGAGTGCGTTTTCGTTCCTTTATTGCGTTGTTTAGTTAATTCCCATACATCCTGTATTTCCGCACTTTGAACTACCTTTTATTTGTCACCTATGAATTTGGCGACCTCCGTGTGCGGCTCCCCCGGCTTAGAACTCATCCCTTACTTTGTGTTCTCTGAACGCAGTGTCTTTTTATGCGAAGTTCGTCATTCGGTTCGTCACCTATTCTCCTCCTCGCCCCTCCACCCCCCTCCCTCTCTTTTTTAAAGTCTCATTGAAGTATTTTGCGACCTCCGTGTGCGGTTGCCCCCGACTTAGGGTTCATCCCCTCTTTTGTGCGAGATTCTGGGTGGTGTACCTTATCTGTTCACCCTAAGCAGTTTCTTTGTATGCGAACTCTGTCCCCTTGAATAACTGTATAAATAGAACATTTTTTTTGTAACCCTATTTCTGACGAAGACCTGCCTCAGGTCAAAACGTCGAATAATATCCTGATTTGTTTTCCACCGTCATTCTGCATCGGTGTCTTCTACGCCTTCGGCCTCCAAGCCAACATGCCCCCTCTCTCTCTCTCTCTCTCTATATATATATATATATATATATATATCAGAAAGGGATTGCCTAGGGTGTACTCATACTTTTATTAAACGACGTTCCGAGGGGGATTTGCTCAGAACTTCATCCAATAAACATGAGTACACCTTAGGCGGCCCCTTTGTTAGCTTCACCTTACGGCGCGCCATTATTTTTGTTCATCTACGATAAGCCATTATATATATATATATATATATATATATATATATATATATATATTACGCGAGTTTTGTAAATATTTATGCCACGTTTTAGCCTTCCATGACTAAGGTTTTTTCAAACATGCCTTTTTTCACTTTTTGTTTTGTACAAAACTCGCCTTTGTGATGTCTAACGATCTCGATGGTAAGTAAATAAATAAAAAAATACACTTCCCCACGTCTTGACATCATCTATAGTGACAGGATAACACAAAGCTTGTGTAAACAACCTTGAATCGCAAGAAATCGTGGAAGAAACCCATCACAAAGAAAAATTCAAGATATATGGTGAGGTGCATCGATACTGCTTGTCATAACACACATTTATCGTACTTGGCGAGGAGATAAATATGACTCAATTTATAACTCGCGATGCCTGCGTGACCGATATGTTTTAGTCGTTACTTACTTATATAGTGTGTTGTTTCGGTCATAAAGTCGAACCGGAACCCGTATCGATAGGAAACAATTAGAGGAGTCACTCAAAGAAAACCTATATTTATATATAAGAAAACCTAACACCAAATTTGAAAGGGGATTATTACTGAACGATAACCGATGTATTATTGTGGCGGCATCGAAAACAGTAGCCACAAATACCGGTGTCTGTCTTCTCTCCCTCTCTTCATGATTTTTACTTTGAAAATGTACAAGCATCAAGCCAAGCTTGCACTCGAATATAGTGGCATTTTTAAAAAAAAGTTAAAGGGAACTTTCCGTAAGTTACAAAATGAAAATGCAGTTGTGAGGTCAGTCTGAAGTAGGAAACGGTCATTATCTTTGTTTGCTTTACGATATAAGACACAATATTACGCGTATAAACGGACGCTGGATGTTTTGTGCTTGTTGAATCGTTAATATAAACCAGGGGTGGCCAGGCTGACATGGCCTAAGAGCCGGAAACAGCCACGAAACCTCCAAGAGCGCGGGGGGAGGGGGGGGGGGGAGGCTAACTTTTGTTTAGAGCAATAAACGAAACTCAAACTACTTTCAATCTCTCCGGTACAAAAGCGGTCTAACTGTACGTAAGGTAGCAGTAGCACAAGACTGCCAAACCTCAACCTGTCTTTTGATTTAAAACGCGGGAGAGTGTGTGTGTGTGTGGAGGGGGGGGGGGAGGAGGCTAGGGGAGGGAGCCGCGAACTGCACCTTAACACGCGAAGAACCGCATGCGGCTCGAGAGCCGCACCCAAAGTATACAAAGGTTCCAAAGCGGAACCTTGGAGGGCGCCTGACGTCACTGTCGCACACGGCAAAGTAACACCATTGACAATTAATTGCACCTTGGGTGCGCTTAGATATGCAACATCTTATATATTCTTCGAGGTTGTCAGGGAAGGCAAAAAAACTATAGTGAGAGCGTAAGGAATGAATTTGGTTCTTTATAAAACGCTTGACGAAAATATAAAGCCAGACAATTAGTTTGTATTTTTGCTTCTAATGAAAAACAAAATGTCATGGGCAAATTGAATGAGCAGTTTGCTGCAAAAGACACCAGAACGTAATCCATGCTGGTATAGGGTATCGACGTTTTTGAACTAAAGATAACTATAAATATTTGTATATAAGTGCTCAAGTAATTTTTAAAAAAAATCTTTGGTTAGAGATATTGGCTTCTGGGCCCGTTTGCTCGAAGCTGGTTAACTCTAACCGCGGTTAAAAGTTAACCGCGTTTCCCTACCTAGGTACATCCGAGTACCTAGCCGCGTTCGACAAAAACTCAACGCACAATTTCTCCGTGTTTTATTATTATGCGGTAGCTCCCGCCACCTTCCGGTCGAAGCAAACAATAGCCTTTTAAGAAACCTTTTTGCCAGTTTTGTCTTTATTAAGAAAAATAAAAACAACATCGTATCACAATGTTTCTTTTTATGCATGAAAATATATATGTACTTTAAAAAAATAATAAATATCTTGATGCATCTATTGTGCCGCAAACACAGCATAAGTTCGCAGCGTTGATTTCGGGTCTGGCAACGGTCTTTATAGATTCGTTGTTTTCGTTGTTTTGTTCTCCGTGTTTTGCGACGCACGTTTCCCGCGCTTTAGTTATCACCTGATTTTCACTGTTTGTCTTCTCCTGCCGTTTGCCCAACCGACCCTCCGACTCGCTCGCCGACTGACTACCGGACTGACTGACAACTGATTTGCGGACGGATTGGTGAAGATAAGGGACGCAATGTCGACTGTGACGCGACGCCGACATCGAAGAGAGCGCGTGTTCGTCCAGTACGCTGTTGTGATGATGGGACGGCAGCGTGTGTTCCGTGACCGCTTGAACCCTTTGGAGGAGTTCGATGAGGACGAACTGCAGGAGCGCTTTCGATTCGGTCGCGCGGGCATTGTGTTCCTCGCCGACACACTGCGCCCGGACTTGGAGCGGCCGACGCGTCGCAGCCGCGCCCTCTCTGCAGAGCAGCAGGTCATTGTCGCCTTACAGTTCTACGCCACGGGGAACTTCCTCATCACCGCAGGGGACTACATCCGTGTGCACGTCTCCACTGCTTCGCGGACTGTGAGGCGGGTGACTCAGGCCTTGGCACGTCGTGCCCAAGACTTCATAGGGTAAGTGGTCTGGAGCATCTCTGGTGCGTCCCGATATTAGGCGCATGTGCAGGCCAGTTTTCCCAGAAAAAAAGCCTGGGCCTAGATTGCTCGATGAGCAATCACCATTATTTCAGAAACCCTTTGTATAGAAATTTCGGTGCGTGAATTGTGTTCGCTGAAACCCCCGAATTCGTTAAAGATGGTCTTCTCCGCACACCTATTCTGCAATTTATTTACGGCGCAGCACCTGCGCAATGACCCTTTCGTTTTTGTTTCCTAAGCTGTAGGCTTGCTAGCCTGAATATCTGCCAGCGCATCGATCCCCACGTATACTGGTACCTCCCTAAAGGATCATTAGAAGTGTTGCTTCAGCACTCGATATTTGTTTTTTGGTAATGAGCGTGACATGCAGACCAGTGAACTGGGCAGTAAAATTACACGAACCAACTGGAGTGTACAAAATGACTCCCTTAGTACCTATTATTGGGGCAGGTGCAAATTCAACTAATCTACAAATAAAGTAGGAGTGCAGACATTTACAAACAGCCTGGTTTCTGCACTCCCAACTATGCACTTGTTGCTACTGAGCTAGTCTTGCGGCTACTGAGTACTGTCATTGTGCAGACGAGGCTTTTATTGCTCACTATTGATGACGATGAATGATAGCTGTGTTATTTTGAAGCATGTGATCATAACAACAAAACTGTCACTGTTAATGTCATAGTGCTACAGGCTCACTCAAATCCATCTACAATGCAGGTGGCCAGGTGAAGCTGAGGGTCATGCCTTACAACAGGCCTTCTTTGAGATCGGTGGGTTTCCTTCGGTCGTGGGTGCTGTTGATGGCACTCACATTCGGATACAGGCACCACAAGTGCATGAGGAGGTGTACGTTAACCGCCATCTGTACCATTCAATAAATGTACAGTTAGTGGTTGACGTCTTTTACCGTATCCGCAATGTGGTTGCAAAATGGCCTGGAAGCACCCACGACTCTAGGATATTCACCGAGGGCTCGTTGTCAGGCAAGCTGGCCGATGGCGTTTACGAGGGCCTACTGCTTGGAGACAGCGGCTACACCTGCAAGCCATGGCTGATGACGCCCTTCCTGTCTCCGTCATCAGCAGCGGAGGTCGCCTACAATGCGTTACATAGCACAACGAGGAGCATCGTGGAACGGTAAAGCCAGGCTATGCGTCCTGGTTCGACGGTTCAGTGTTTCGGTACCTTGAGGCACCTAACCTTTTTTATGTGGTTGTGCCTGAGCTTTACATTTGTTGCCATTTTTATGTTCTTGCATAGTAGGCTACGGCTGCTCAGAAGCAAGGAGAGGAAGGCGTATCTCTACTATACCTTATTTATACTACGGGCTATAACCTACTGCCATAGCCTGAAATGTTTATTCTAAGGTTAGCCAGCATTGTGGGAATGAAGAACATCAATTCACAAAATTCAACCATTAGCCAGTTAACTCTATATGTCACAATAATTGTTATATTTCATTTGCTCTTTTCTGTATAAACTCCAGAATAGAAGTTAGAACTTCTCTGAAACATATCCTTCCTGTATGACTGGGTTTATTAACCTACAGGTTTTTACTAGCTGTTTACACATTTCAAACAATAGCAGTTAATTTTTTTTGTTACTCTATATTGCCTAAATGTAAAGCAATTCTTAGAAAAAAAAAACAGCTTGCAATGTGAAAAAAAAAACACTGGCTTAGGCAGGTTTTGTTTTTAGACAGTTTGTGTACAGACTTATTCAAGCATATCTTATTAAATACTGCTTATCTCAAACTGCAATTTTCCTTGCAAGTTTTTGCGAAGAACATTTTCATTATATCTTTGATGGGATTGCTGCGCCATTTGCGCCAAAGTGATTACCCTGCTACGTCCTGCTACATTTAACAAAAATGTGAGAAATTTGCACCAACGTAGCACCAAAACTTATTTTCATTTTAATAATACTGAAAATATAATAGCTCGGGCTTCGCTGCCCGGCCGGACCGTCACGATATGCTTACGCAAGTTTTCAGGTTTTCAAAACTTTTGATTATAGTCTCGTATACGATACCATTCCATCACATTTCGTATGAATGACAGGCAATATCTGGAAGTTTCGCAATAATTTTTATGTTAGTCGTCTGTTCATTCTGGAGGGTTAGCTATAGTCCGTTGCAACCTAAGAACGAAGGGCGAGGGTAAGACAGGCCGGGGAGGAGGAAGCAGACGGAACGCTAGAGAAGAGAGGGGGAAACCTCCTTCTCTCTTTAGCGTTCCGCCTGCTTCCTCCTCCCCAACCCGTCTTACCCTCGCCCTTCGTTCTTAGGTTGCAACGGACTATAGGGTCGTTGAATGCGCTTTTCACCACGCACCGGTGTACTGCAAAGAAGCAAACACCACGGAGTAGGCATCGCAACTTTGTATGTCTTGCTTCTCTGCAGCGGACCCTGTGTTAAGGAGAAAGCTCTCCTCCAAAGTGAGACTCAACACAATTCCTGAACACAACTTCGGCTCGTAAATATGATGGATTACAAGATTCCGGCGGCACCTTTTCCAATTTCGAGATTTAGTAAGGGTACTTTGGTATTGCAAGAGCATTTATATATGCTCTTATGCATGTTTATTTATTTATGCAAACTCATTTGTTTAGCTATCAATTTTCTGTAGGTGCGAGTAGATTAGAACTAAATTGACAGGAGCAGTGGATGAAATCTCAGGAAGAGCCTGAATGAGTTCGGCGGGTTTGTTTTTAAGTTTCGTTCACATGCCGTTTTTGCTCTGAAGTTCTACAGATAAAATGTAATTTATGTTGATAATCAAATGATAATTGCTTTGTTTTTTTTTCTCATTTATAAATTGCAGTTTTATTACAACCTCTAGAACTTGAAGGAAACATCAGTTTATGTGACCAATGTTATTGTACTAATTTAGTGGCATTCAGTACCTAAAATAACCATTTAAAGGAGTTTGTGCTGTCCTTCATCACTCACCTTTTTGTTACCCTGTCATGGTGCTTCTCCACGCAACTGAACGCTATAGTTTTGTGTTTGAGGAACTCTTGCTGCGCAGTTGATGCTAACAAAGGTTTGAACGTATGTGAGAAGGCAACGTAGACTTTGCCCTTTAGTTGGACAGGCCGAAAAATTAATCTTGACGCGATGTTTGCATTGGTATCAATAAAAATGAATGTGCGCTTATGCTACAAAAGTTCTTTTTGTTGCACCATAATTGACTTTTGACTGCTCCAAGGGCTGCTCCAAAATGACTCAGACCAATCACATCACTGAAATCTTTAACAAAATCTGCATTTCATTACTATGTTAAAATATTCCAACAAAAATATTAACTATTAGGCATAATACCATGTTTTCGATGGGCTGGAGCGATGATAGACATCGCATGCCGATCTCATTAGATGTTCTTATAAACCACTTCAAAAGGATAACAGATCTTGCTCTATTTATACACTGTGCAGGACAATAGGCCAGCTCAAGCGGAGATTTCATTGCCTCCATGCTGAGTTGAGGATGCAGCCAGAGAGATGCTGCGACATCACTGTTGCCTGCTGTGTCCTGCACAACCTGGCCAAGACATACCCCTGCAGCATGCCAAGGACTGTCCTCCCCGAAGAGGTTCCCGTCGAGCCCGTGGCAGCGGGCCGTGATGAAAGCAACGAGGCTCGGGATGCCATCGTCAGCCAGTTCTTCGGTTGAGCGTAAGTATACCAATATATTGCACATGCTGCTTTGCATGGTCTTGAGTACCAGTGCATTCTGCTTGTTTTTAATTGATCAAACATTGGAATACCAAATGTTGTTTCTGCGTTAGGTTGGAAGAGAGTGGAATTTTCGCCCACGCCGTCCCCACATATTACGCTTGACTACTGCTGCCGATTACCCCGGCGCAGCGGGAACACGAATACCATAGGCTATGGTTCAGGGAGATACGAAGATAAATTAGGCAAATGATAAAATTAGCCAGAGGATCTTCCGATGAGTACATGCAAGGCAGGCTTTTAGTCTTAGCGGCAACTGAGGCGCATACGAGGCTGACGGCGGTACGGACAGAGCACACGGAGATGGATCAGCAGTCAAGATTCCTTGAGCGTCGCAACTATTCGTGCTGTGACAAGAAACTAGAGCAAAAACCCTGCAAGCAGGCGGAGCCGCCGTTAGTTCTCGATAAGCAGATGAAAAACTTGTCTTCGCATGACACGTTTCGGCGCACCGATATGTTTGACGGAGCAAATATACCACATGGTTTCAAACAGGCTCGTGATTGGACCCGGCGGCGTGTAGCATTGGGCTTTAGTCCATCGTAGGACGAGACAGAGTATAGCAGATCTGAATCTAGAAATATACAGTTGCAAGTAAAATGGATTTTATTTATCAGCAGCTGTGTTGGCTTTGTCATATATATATACATTCAAAATGAAAATTAAAAACAGCGTAATATGTCAATGTTTACTCTTCTCCTAATTGTTTTTTTAGCAATTTGATTTCCAATTCTGCACGCTGTGTTTCCAGTTGAATTAAATTTTTTTGGTCCTCTAGTAATTTTTTTGACTGCTGGTAGAACTCCTCGGCAGCAGTTGCTGCTGCAATTGTTGCCGTGGCAGCTTGCTTAACCATTTCTGTGCTCTCCTTCTCCAGCAGGAGATTAGCTCCCTCGAGCTGCTGCTGCCTTTCTGTCTCCTGCAAGAAGCGCTGTGAAGCCTCCCGGCACCAACGTCGGCTGTATGGCACATTTGTTGGAGCCCGCTGCACCGCCTCCAGCGGCCGACTCTCGTGCAGCACTGCCGCACTTGCTCCGCTCCCAGAGGGACCAGGCTGTGGATCTATTCCCCTGGAGCTGTCACTGCGACAAATTCAAGTGTAAAAAGTGGTCAGGTTTTGTTCTTGTCAGCATGGGCAAAGAAAACACACTGTGCAAAGTTTGTAACCCTGATAAAGACACCGATGCTGCGCCAAAATTCATTCATACGGGTTGGTACAGAGGACAAAGTTTGTGAGCCAAGTTGGTTTATACACTGACGCACAGGCTTGAGGTCGGAGCGCAGTGTTGTTACTTCTTGCACAATTGCCCAGTACATGGTGTAGGAAAATGTGCATTTGGTTGTGAAGAGCACACAGCTGCATTCTAAAGGTTAGAATGCAGCTGTGTAGCTATGCGATTAACAGTTCATAAATTTAGTGGTCACATGTCCAGTCAAACCACAATGCACTGCACATTTATAGGACAACTTCAAACATTACAGCACATAGCTTCACTGGTATTGATTTCACTCACACAGGTTACCATCATGGGGGTAGTTAACTTCTTGACCAGAATGAAGTTAATGTTTGAGCCAATTTTCCTAAGTTGGTAAAACAAGCAACAGGATGGTTGTACTGTGTGTGATCTTTTAATTTGCATATTGAAAGCGTGCTACAGTTAGCATTAAAGAAAAGCCATTGCCACTTTGTTGCATTTAATTTCTATAAGATGGTAATAAACAGCTTTACCACCTGATTTCTCATTGCATGCCGTGCTATTGCATGAATTTGTAGCTTCGGTGAAACTGTTTCAGCCTTGTTGAAAATAATTAGAAATGTGGTAGCGCTGGTGCCTCGTCAGATCTTAGAGTGCACTCTGGAAGACGGTTTCGTGACTTATATTTCGAACCGCCTTTGAGCTTTTGCTGTTGAAATAGAACTGAAGCCAGATTCCCGGAACTTTCTTACGACAAAAAAGTTAGTAGATTTATCTTATGACAAATTTACGAACTTTTAAGTATTCCCGAAGCACAAAGATCGTAAGTTTTGCGCAAGCTACGGATTTCGTCAGAACTTGCGCAAAACTTACAAACATTTTGCTTCGGGAATACTCAAAAGTTTGTAACTTTGTTGTAAGAAAGTTTCGGGCATCCGGCCTCTGGTCTTTATATAAAAGTACTCGGCAGTAATGCCATTCAAATGGCAACATGCCCATCTTATCATCATTTGTCCTCGTCTTTTAGAACCTCGCCTGGAACGACAGTTCTGCATTACTGTGACCGGTTCCTTAAAACCATTTACTCTTCACACAATCGGGTCTAGAAACCAGTCACCTACTCTTCGGTGTCACCTATGGTGGCCTCCAACCCGCACAGGTTGGGCGAGTCCTCGCCGATCACTTCGAGGACGGCCTCGACGAGGGGCGTCAGGACGTGGGGGTTTGGCCCAGCACCTATGAATTAAGGCGTAGTAATTTCGTCTCGACTCTTACTTACTCGAGTTACGAGCAAAAACAGAGGAGGTGGGGTTCACTGTTCAACCAAGTATGTAAATGGAACTTTCATGGGAAAATTAAAATAAACAAATACTGCATGAGACATTCTTTTAAACATTCATTAACTGCTAGATAACACTGCTGAAACTGTGGACTGTGTAATCGTGCAATTTTTACTTTCTTACAGTTTGGCCTGTCGGCCTCTACCATTGTGCTCTCTTATAATCTGTTTTAATATTTTGTCCGAAGTTTTGGGTCTTCCACTGAACTGTTTTACAAGTTCCATACAGCCTGTGCAGAACTTGTACATAAACTGGAATAAATTGTTTTCTGATGCTGTAACACTGCTTTTGCTGCTGTTCAAGGAAGGTGAAAAGTCGACTCCCAGCAGAGGGCAAAGGTGAACGAATATACAAATGTCCACATTCACGTTTCTAGGTTTGGTTGCTCATGTATTATCACTAAAGCAATGCAATATCTTTTGAACTTAAGAACACAATGAACTTACCGGTGCGCTGTTCATGCTTCTTGAATAAGCTGTAGAGTTGTCTAGTCTTTTTTAGGAGGTTTCTCCAGCACTGTTGTAGCTGGTCTGGGGTGCGCAAACAGCCCATGGCTCTGTAAATTTCGTCCCATGCCTGCCTTTTTGTTTGGGTCGTGACCGTAGCACTGAACTTGCCCATAATTTGATGTTTCCTCTCCCCCACTGCCCGAATTAGTTCTAATTGTTCATCCAATGACCAATTCCTCTGCCGTTTCATGGTGATGCTTGCATTCGCCTGACTCAGTTTAGATTTCAGATTGGTTGTGATCGTCTGCTACGTAATTATGTCTCTCTTTATAATCCTAATAAGACATCTAGTTATCTGAAACAAAATAAATTGAAGAAAGACAAGCGCAAGAGAAAATATGCACACTTCTTTTCCGATAGAAGCTTTGTTTATTTTCCAGTTGTACAAGTTCGCAGACGACAGTACCGAAGTTCGATCGAATGCCGTGCCGGCATCCGTGCCGGCAGCTTCTGTTGAGGTAACGGATCTTTGCTTCTGAGGGAAGTTTTTAGTTTGCATCTTGCCTTCGTTGAACCGTCGCTAAAGGGGGTCGTCGGTGTTGTGGATGCGCTGCAAATACAAAACACGACGAACTGTACTATAAACCAGACTCCGCGATTAGAGGCCGTTTTTCGGAGAGAGATTTGTTGCACTAACATGCGATTGGGGCTCGAGGTAGGTTTTAAAAGTGAAAAAAAGAAAAGAAAGCTGGACGTTGATTACAACGCAAGTTCTGCTGACATGAAATTTTGATAGCGGTACAATCTCATAACTTTCTCGTGAAACATCGCGGCACTTACCTAGGATATACGTTTTGAAGATCCCGCTGACTGTAGCATTCAATAAAACAAGTCCACTTCAGAGGGCGGTGCGTGATGTTATTCAAACTCGACGAAACCAGTCAGGCGTGGCCCTGCTCCCACAGCATGCTCGCCGTCAACTCCGACAGTAGACTTTGTGTTGAAATGTCCTTTTCGTGACACGAGGATGACGCATCTTCGTAAAAATAAATGTTCCCAAGCGTGACGAGCGGCCGTAGCAGCCATATTGGACATATTGTCTGATGCTAGGTACTATTTTACTCCGGCGTCCCTACTCTGCAGGTCACGTGACCTACAATTCCCCCTCGTAGGGAAATCCGGTTAACCGCGGTTAGTAAACCAGCTTCGAGCAAACGGGCCCTGGTGAGAAACATTTCGTTAAGGCCTTCCTGATGGCTGGGTACAGCAATGGCTGCCTTGTACTCAGATGGGAGCCTCTGTGAGGAGAGATTTTTTAAATAAATTAACTAGGGAGCGCGTATCCATGAAGAAAACGGTTGTGAACTCCATCAAGTCATGCGACTGAATGACATTTGAAAATACAAAGGGGATTAGATACCCTATTATCGTCGATAATAAATTCTAGCATTTGATTAATTATAGGCGTCAAGGTGTGCGGAGCAATGTCCTCAGCTGTGCTAAAGAAAAAGAATGGAAATTAGTCGTTGGATATTGCCTTTTTAAAGTCATCCGAAGTCTACTTATTGTCAGGAATGGCTGGTATACCTATGTTTCTTAAAATATTGCACGATGTTTAGCAAGCCTCCCTGATTATTTTGGGTTGTTAGCCTACCTAAAACCTAGAGTAGAAAAAAGAAAGAGTTCGTTACTTTTCTTTTTTTAAGCGTAATCGAGACATTTGCTCTGAATACCTGACACCGAGTTTTTCATTTCTTTACATATTAGAAGTTAGCGCCAATTGTTCTTTTAAAAAGAAATCGCAGATTCTTCCACGTCCATGGTTTGTCATTTATGCACCTACCTGATTACATTCTAAAGAAAATAAACGCATCAATAAATAGAAAACACTGCACGTGTATATAATTTCCACAGATATTTTAAATAAATTGTAGCACAGCATCATTTAAAGTCGGGAAAATAAGCCACAATGTAAAACGATAGGTTGCCATTCTAACCCCGATCAAAAAAAAAACTTTAGGGAAGCAAGGCTTAGGGGTTACAGCGTGTTTACATGTTGCATGCGATACAACTACTTCCTGATCACTGACGACCCAAATCGTCATCCCAGAACAGACAGAATAAGGAAGATTTATTTAAAACAATATAGAATAGTTTCACGCGAAATAAGTCTTGGTGGAAGGGACAATCAGTGTTTTAACTAATGCTTGTTGTGAGTTGCTTGAACGTATTCTAAAGAAATTATGAACTGCACGAAAGTTGTATATTGTCAACCCATTCTATGTCCGAACGGTTAAAAGCACCCTCAAAAAAAGACATCGTCGGGTGTTATCGACGTCCAAGTACAAGATACGCGCAAAAGGAAATCAATAGCATTATTACTTACCAATCTATAAAATAAACCGTCTGTTGAAAATTTGCCGTCTTACAATTTTATTTTGCACTACATCGATTCATAGAAACAATCGCGTAATTAAAAAGCTAAGAATAGTACGCTTCTGGAGACAATTAAAAAAAACTGTACGTTCCCTTAATTTTTTTTAATATTTACTGTAGATCTCAGAGTTGGCTGGAAATATTTCAGGGCTGTTTTATAGGCAGTCGAGTCAAGACCCTGCACCAACAACCACACCGCGGTGTTCGCTGAATGGGGGCATGATACCGGCAAGATAGAACGCTCACCCCTTCTACTGTTCCAGGTACTACTCTCTTTCGGCATGTCAGGCGACCACATCACGCTTGGTACCAACGGAACGGCCTCTTCTTCCTTCGCTTTTTTACCACCGTCACGACAACAAAACAGCCGGTTCTGGAGCAATAGATAACCCTGCCCTGGCAACCTGGATCGTCTACAACCGGCGGGACCCTTAATAAGGAAGCCGTCGACGATTTCTTCTTGGGGCATGACACCGGCAAGATGGAACGCTCAACCCTTCTACTGTTCCAGGTACTACTCTCTTCCGGCATGACAGGCGACCACATCACGCTTGGCGCCAACGGAACGGCCTCTTCTTCCTTCGTTTTTTTCACCACCGTCACGCCAACACAACAGCCGGCTCTGGAGGAATGGATAACCCTGCCCCGGCAACCTGGATCGTCTGCAAC